GATGGGTAAATATGAAGAATCTCTTGTAGACTTAAATAAACTATTAAATATCGATCCTGATAATGCATATGATGCCGAGATATTAAGAAATTTTGGAATAACATACTTGAAATTAGAGGAATACGAAAAATCTCTTGCCAATTTAAACAGGTCGTTAGAGATTGAGCCGGAGAATGTGTTTGCATTGATAGTTCGTGGTGAAGCAAATAAAGCGATAAAAAATTTTAAAGAGGCAATAGCAGATTTTAACAAATCTTTAGAAATTGATCCAAATAATGTATTTGCAATAAGAAGTCGTATAGAAATTTTATTAGGTGGGTGGATAGGATGAATTTTTTAAATTTTAGAGTTACTAAATACAATTTATCTCTTTTATTAAGTTTATTTTGTTTACAATTTTGCTATTGAGGAAATAGATAAAAACTTTCAAAAATGAATTAATATTAATATCCGCATTCCACGTATACCGTATTTTCGCGAAATAACGCGCAGGGACGTTATTTAGAATTTTGGTCTGAATTAAGCTTAATTCTGGCCAATTTTCGAAATTACACCCCTGCGCGTTATTTCACGAAAATACGGTACTTGACAAAACCCAGACAATTCCAAATTCCAAAAAAAACAATTGCTATTTGTAAAAGATTAAATAAATCAAGTAATCTTAATATTTGCAAATATAATTAGAATAGAAATGATTGTAAACAATTATTGTTTAAATATGTAAATTTTATCTGAAAAAAAAAAAACAGTAAAACAATAAAGGGTTTGAAATATTGTTATAATGCTATAATACCACCGTAATATTATCATGGTATAATAGTTGATTCTTTAGATATTGTCCAATTGCTGGAAATTATCCTGGCAAGATCATTGGGTTCATGTGGAATTTGACGTACACGTATTTTATATGTGCCTTTTTCCAATTCTTTACCCAGAATTTTACATTCTTTTTCATTAGTTATTACTATTTCAATAATAAGATAATCATTATTATTGAGGATTTTAACAAGTTGAATCTCGTAATAACCTTTAGGTCCTTCGAACTTTACATTAAACTGATGCCCAAAAAATGGATTATTAGTATACACGTATGTGACATTTTTAGGTGCTGCGTATTGAATAATTTCGGAAATTGACATTATAATATCGCTATCAAGTTGATCATCATCGCCAATTGCTTGTGCAAAAGCACGAAATTTGACGATTTCTGATGAGTCCGATGAGTCAAGTAAATCATAATTATTACTAAACATTTCTTCGACTCTTCTCGAAGGAGAACAGTCTTGAATTGTGCTTTGAACTGTTTTTTCTGTCTTTGTATTTTTAACTCCCAATACATATTTTGGGATTTCTGAATTAAAAGCGCAAGAAACTACAAACTTTGGCTCGTGAGATTCATCAGCTTCGGCTGATATTTGCAAATCATTTGGTGATGGCAAAAATTTTATAGTTCTAGCTGATTTTTCTGGAAAACTATTTATTGCTTGATCATTTTTTACAACTGCATACACTTCAGCTTTCACTTCAACTTGGCAATTCCTACTTTTCTCAAATTTAATATTTTTAGTAATAAAATCATAATTGCTTGATGCGATACCTTCAATTAAAGGCGATTCAGCTATTAAATGTTCATTTGCTGATGATTCAGCTACCAAATGCTCATTAGCTGATGATTCATATTCATTATTTGATTGAACTTTATATAATTTAATCTTGTAACCTTTGAAAATATTTGGTGTTGCTGAGAATGTTATTGGCTTATAGGAGACATTAAGTCTGTCTGATTTCTTTTTCATAATAACGTTAGTAGGTTTTGGAAGCTGTTTGAAATCTTTTTCACCATCAGTTACTGGTCCATCAAAAAAGATTGGTTCCTCAGTTTTAAATTGATTTATTGCCTGAACTGCAAAAGTATAAGATATGTAGGACGTGGTAGAACATTTCAAATATGTCACGATTTTCTCTTCAAGCTTCCAGATATCAAAGCTGATAAAAGTGTATGCGCGACTTTTTAGTGCAAGCAAATCATCCGGTTCAATTTCTAATGACTCGCTTAAATCTGCAAGTGATTCTTCATATTTATTTAATTTATAATATGCTTGCCCACGACTTCTTAATGCAAATGCATTATTTGGATCAATTTCCAATGATTTATTTAAATCTTCAAGTGAATTCTCATATTCACCTAATTTATACAATGTTACTCCACGGTATCTTAGTACAAATGCATTATTTGGAATAATTTCCAATGATTTACCTAAATCCTTAAGCAACTCTTTATATTTGCCTAATTGATATAATAAAACTCCACGATTACCTAATACAAATGCATTATTAGGATCAATTTTTAATGATTTAGTTAAATCTTTAAGAGCTTCTCCATAATTGCCCATCATGCGGTAAGTTTCTCCACGATTACTTAATGCAAATGCATTTTTTGGTTCTATTTCTAATGATTTGTTTAAATCCGCAAGTGATTTTTTGTATTCATTTTTTATGCGATAAATTACTCCTCGATTTCTTAATGCAAATGCATTATTCGGTTCAATTTTTAATGATTTATCTAAATCTTTAAGTGAATCATCATATTTACCCATTATACGATAAATTTCACCACGGCTCCTTAATGCAAATACATTGTCTGGTTTAAGTTTTAATGATTCGTTTAAATCCTCGAGTGATTTATCGAAATCATCTAATTCATAATGTATTTTCCCACGGACATTTAATGCAAATGCATTATTTGGTTTTATTTTTAATGATCTTGTTAAATCTGCAAGTGCCTCTTTGAATTTTTTCATCTTTCTATAAACATCTCCACGAATACTTAGGACAGACGCATTATCTGGTTTAATATTTAATGAATTGTTTAATTTTGTAAGTGCTTCTTCAAGTTTTTCCTTTCTACGATAAACATCACCACAATATCCCAACGTCTTTGCATCATCCGGATCAATCTCTAGTACTTTACTAAAATCTACAAGCGCCTTGTCGAAATCTTTGTAAATCATATAGTAAATATATCCACGATTTTTCAATGCTTTTACATTCTTCTGCTTAATTTCTAACGATTTACTTAAATCTGAAATAGATTCTTTATATTTTCCTATCATACGATAGGTTATTCCACGGTTGGTTAGTGCAAATACATCATTTGATTGAATTTTTAGAGATTTAGTTAAATCTGCAAGAGATTCTTTATAATTTCTCATCATGCGATATGTTACTCCACGATAGTTTAACGACCATTTATTATTGGGCTTAATTTTCAATGAGTTTGTTAAGTCTGATAATGCTTTTTTATACTCTCTTAATTTACACAGTGTTGCTCCGCGATTTCTTAATGTAATTTCGTTATTTTCATCATATTTAAATGATTCATTGAAATGTGTAAGGGAGAGGATGTATCTTCCTAATTCATAATATATTGCTCCATAGCTATTTAGGACAAATACATTTTCTGGTTTAATTTTTGATGGGTAAATATGAAGAATCTCTTGTAGACTTAAATAAACTATTAAATATCGATCCTGATAATGCATATGATGCCG